TTGGTTTAGAAGTCAACGCCTCTACTCACCGGGCCACGAGCCCGTTGCCTTGTCGGTTTTCGATCGGGAATATACAGTGTTAGGGGCGCTCACCGATCGTTCATACGGAACGAGTGAGTTCCGTATGAACGATCGGTGAGCGCTCCTAACACTACATATATATATATATATATTTATGCAGTGGTATAGGGGCGCTCACCGATCGTATCTACGGGACTCGCTCGTCTCGTTACGCCTTCCGGGCTCTCTCTCGGGTCCAACCAACAGCCGCACAGCGGCGCATGATGCATGTGCTACCGTTTATTGTGACCAGAATAAAAAGTCCGCCTCAGCACGCAACCATGAACACCAGTTGGCAGTACAGAGACAAGACCATCTGTCCCAAGTAGCAATGCGTAATCTGGACCCTGGGCCCACCATCGCTTGACAAAAAGCTCGCATTGTCGCTCTCTGCCCTTTCAAGAAAGGCCGAGAGTTCTTCGAGGCGATGCACTCGAATGAATCTTTCATCAACCGGAACATGGAGTTGGATGCCGTGTACAGAAACCTCAAGGAGACACGGAAGAGGACAGAACCAATCAGGTCAGACTGACACATATGGCGGCCGCCTACCGGCGCAAACGCCAGGCAAGTATCGATTTTATGCGCACTCGTGACGTTAACTGTTTCTTGCTTTCACATTTGTTCTCCGTCCGCGCCTGACGAAGACCTGGCGAACCAGCGTCGAAAATCTACGCACTAAATCTTCTTGCCCCATTGAACCTATCTTATTTCAACTTGAATTACATGGGATACCTATCTTCTAATGTATATTACATACACTTTTTATATCGTATATTAACTGGCGACCAGCGCATAGATCACGCTGGGAAACCCACTTAGGAGCCTAACTCCTCACACCTGTGTCATGCAAAGGAAGAAAATCGGCGAAGCACGCGTCCGGGCTTTTAGCTAGTACCTATGTCGGAAGTACGGTGTGGTATCTTTGCCATAATACTGAGGTGTTTACCTTTTTAGACGCCTTCCTACCTTAAGGCCGTCTGCGGCGACAACATGGTTGAGATCTGGGCATCAGCCGGCACAGAGCACCGCTTTCGTCACCACCAATCGGGCTCAAAAAGCCTCGTCAGAAACATCAGAGGTAGCATGACATTTCACACTTGACAGCACGGGTATAAGATAAAAGCTCGGACACGTGTTTCCCCGATATTCTGCCGCTGCACGACACAGCCGCGAGGGTTCCGGTTCATCGGTAGGTCTCCCAGCGTTCCCGTGTGCTTTTCTGGTAGATACTCCAGGTTTGAAATTGCGACTTTTTAATTTCCTCTGAAATTAATCGCTATCTTTGAGGAGATTAGTCCATTTGAGACCTATAGGCTCAGACTGAAATTTGGTGCATGAATATTTGGGCCGAACTCCATCAGCCACAGCGGAACAAGCAGCCATTAACATGTGCATCGGCACAGGTACCAGCCAAAAGTTCATATCAAACTTCAGTCTGAGCCTGAAGGTGTCAAATAGACTAGCCTACCCTAAGTTAGCGATTAATTTCTGAAGCCTCTGTTTCAAAACCGGAATATATACCAGAAAAGCACACGGGGAACGCTGGAGGACCCATTTATGAGCCGTAGCCCTCGCGGTTATGTCACGTAGCGGCAGAACATCGGCGAAACACGTGTCTGGGCTTTCATTTAGCACCCATGCCGTCAATTACGGTATGTTGTACTACCTATGCACATACTAGAGGCTGCTTGTTGGCATTTTTTGAATATTACGCCGTTATTGCGCTGTAGCTGATGGATTTCGGCCCAAATATTCATATCAAATTTCAGTCTAAGCCTATAAGTTTCAAATGGACCGATCTACGCCAAGGTAACGATTAATTCCTGAGGAAGGTAAAAAACCGCAACATCAGAGGTCTTATTACTATGAAAGGAAGGCAAGGCCGATTGGAGTCGGATCTTATTTCACAGCCGTATCTGCAGTAGACAAGCCCCAGCCTAACCCCAATCCCTAACCCGCACCCCAACCCCTATCCCCTAACCCCAACCCTAACCCCTAACCATAACCCCTAACGCCAGTCCCTAACCCCTAACAGGTACAACCACGAAATAGGACCTTTCCCCGATTGGTGTTGTTATCAGAGACCCAACTTCCCTGGACATTAATTGCACCTAAAAGCTTCCTAATCATCTAGCTCTTCCAAGATATGCTCAAAATGAGGTCATTATTCACTGGCAATTTCCACCTGGCATCCGGAGTGCGTGATTGCTGTCGCTGCAATCGGATGCGTTGGGGGGGGGGAGGGTGGGAGGTTAACCCGACGGGGTGGGGAGGAGAACATAAACGGCCCACAGAATTAATTTTATGAGCGCTGTCACATACTTACAGCCTTTTGCAGTTTGGGTCGAAGTTTCTCCTTTTACTTTGATCGGCCCCGAAGCTGCAGCTAATAGCTCACCCTGTAGGCATACTTAGGTTTTTCAAACTGTCCTACAATCCAATTAATCCCTTCACACTAGAGTCTGGTTAAATATGCGGAAATAAACCTCGTTATACGTCGCCCCTGTCAAGTGCTCTCAGTACAGCATCGCTACCCACGACTTGCCAAAAACTAATCCAATTCATGCCTCCGCTCTTTGCTCGAGGTAATTGCATTTTTGCGTTTGCAGCATAATTGAATTTCCAGACTTACTCTGGTCAGTAAAACCACGTTGCCCCCACAATTCACCAGTTTGAAGCAATTCCACTAATTGCGCTGGCGCTCACGTGATTGGATGGCGATACAGCGGGCAGTGACTAGCACTGGAGGCGCTGATTGGCAGAAAAGCCGTTATACCTGCAATGTGCGATGGAGGAAATATATCAGGCGCGGAAGCGTCTGTTGTGGGGTCGTTCTCAGCAAGATGGGTGAGAAACACGCTAGACGCTGCCAGAGCTGTTCTGAGCGGCATTGTAAGCCCAGAAAGAAGTCTTCACATCGACAAAAGGAACGCTATGTGAGGGCCTGGGTGAACGATGTTCAGTCGCCGCGGATGGACGAGAGCAACCATCGCAGTCGCCGACACCGTCATTTTGACGATAGTTTTGAGGTCAGCGAGGACTCCTACGACGAAAGGGAAGAACAGCCCCGGGAGCCGTCGGCATCAAGGAGGCACCATTGCGAGAACCATCACAAGCACAAACACCATCGAGAACATCGACGACAGCCGTCTCAACAGCCGCAGTCACAAGAGCAACAGCAGCAGCAGCAGCAGCAACAACAACAACAATCAGCAGAGGAACTTGAACAGCAGAGGCGAACGAGAGAACAGTTAGAAATGCTGAAACGTACATCACTGAAAGAGTTTGGGGAATTGGGACGTCAGATGCGCAGGGCCATGTCTTTGAGACGATCGGGTAAGTGGGACGCTCCAATGAAATGGGGATCTGTACCTGCGCCTATCGGTCGTCGTAAGGGTCGAGTGAAGTAAGACAGTCCCCTCCCCTCCTCTATTTCCTCCTTTGTACGACAGCGTTTCCAGCACCCATATGCAAACATTCATTTAAATATGCATAAATTTCTTTTGCTGTAATTCCGCCGCCTGTCAATGAAACATACCAAAAGATGCCTCAAATGATGATGGGAATGATTATGATAATAATAGTAATGATTTTTACTTGATTCCTTACCCACCTACAGGAATAGTTCTAACCGTATCGTGATAATTGTCCCCTCCGTAGTTACAAAACACTACGTAACGCATTTATCTGCGCATGCAGAGACCTCATTCGAAGTCGATATTTATGTTTTCCGCTGAAGAATGCAACCTTAAAGTTTAAAACACCTGCATGTTGACAAAAAGGAGGCGTTTCTTCTCATATTATTCCAGTTTACCCCAGCAGTCTGGCACCTGCTTATAACTCCAAATTATGATGGTGGGTGTTGACATGATTCCGTTTGAGGGGGTAAAATGAAAAGGCAGTAATCGGAAGGAAATGGGTTTACTCGGTCAATGTCCACGTTAGTTGGGACAATGAATCCCCTCATAAGCATGCGATGCACCCCTCCGCCTCAAAAGCTGATCAAACGGAGGTGGGTGACCAAGGTTGTCTCGGATGAAAACACAGCATTGATCCTCGTAATCTGGGGACCTCTTTGAAAGGCGTCTGTCCGTCCCTCCGAAGAGACTCGTGGGAGATCACTGAACAGAGTCCTGGCTGGTGAGAGAACAGATAGTTCTCAGGATTAATCATCTCCGGGGTTCGTCCTCGACCTAGTTGTCAGGGTTTGAGTAACACAGTCCGCAGTTTTGTAACCAAAGTGCCCATCAATGAATTGCACATCTATCAGCTCTACATCCGATTTCGAATTGGAGCGAACAATCAGCGCTATTTATGAACGAAGCAGGTAGAGACGCCCTCCTCAGTGCTGAGTGCTCAGAACTAGGGGGGGGGTAGCATCATATTGTGTCTTCGTCTCTGGCAGCCCGTTACTTAATAACCGGTATATGAGTTTGAATGTGGTACGCGATACTAATTTGGGCACTGAAGCGGAAGGTAAAATCTCGTCAACTTGTTATACGTAGTTCACTGACCGCAAAGGAAGTCACCGAAGCTGGTTTGCGAATCCGCTATGTTCGGTTAAGTTGATCGTCTCTAGCAGTTCCTAACATTCGCTGTCAGTAACTATCTGACGCCGTGAATGCTGTTCACTTATGGCAACCGTCGAAGGGCAAACCATGTCTGTCAGAGCAGTTTTGTCCACAATCTACCCTAAAGAAGGCTTAAAATTATTCATGAAAATTCGGTTCTGGAAAAAAATCAGGCTTAAATATGCAAGTATTCGCGAAAAACTTGATAACGGTTTCTGCATATTCTGGCATATGAGGCATGTGTGCATGATTCCATCGACATTAGAGTTTATTATGAACCACAACAAGCAACGGATCGACGGAGTCTTTCCCCACCTCCCGGGAGGTGAATGTTCTATAGATTACTAATTACTTGCTTACCACCTTGAAGACGAACAACCACGCTGCTGCCCAAGGGCACCTCGTCCTCTTGAAGTTCCGTTGCCTTTCCGAACCGTGAAGGACTAGAATTCTGACCGAGATAGTTCTCTCTGCACTTATGACATGAGAATGTCTCGGACTGTCCACTGTTATATACGTCAAGCATTCACCGGTGTGGTAACAGGTAGAAGGCCTCGTAGACTGACGCACTTCCAGCCAGTGTCGTGGATGAGCAGGATTCCAAAAAAGGATCCAAAAAGCGTACTTCAGTATGTTGATAAGGTTATAGTTGGCATTGTGCGTGCGTATGTGAAGTGACTGATCGGCGGGCTGGAAGTCACGTTCAATGGCTCCTCATTGGTCAGTGGAAAATTGATGGATTGTTGGAGCCGGGTCGTGTGTGGCGTTCGTACATTAGCTGTATAGTTCCGTCCGACCACCGCTTCAGATGGTTAGCCGACTCGAATAGCAGACTAGTGAATGGGAGAGGGGGGGAAGTGCGAGACCGACTCCAGAGACTCCATCCCCATGGCATTTCGGCACATCCTCTCATCATATACAGTCAAAAGAGCGTTTACACTACACGAAACACTAAGATTTCTAGCATTGATGGCTGCCAACTGACGGGATAACCCTGGCCTCCAATCAGAACGGAAGGTCAGGTTGTAATGGCTCCTTGTCGCTGTGGCCTGTGCGGCGTCCCCACTTAAATGGAACCCAGACCGTCCCCTCTTCCCTGTGAAAACCTGGTCTATCGTGCACGGACAAGGGGTGCCTGTGGTACGCGTATAGGGTCCATTTAGTCCTGCCAATTACTACGCTCGAGCCCGTCATCCACTCTCGACATTGGATCCAGGAGAGGTAGATGCTGCGCAAGTCATGTACCACTATAAACTGATTCACGCGCAAGACACGCGTGTTGCGCCCGCTCAGTGGGGATACATGTTGCGCATCATTGTTCGTGACGGTTGAAGTGACAGGTAGTTCAACGTCTCGATCGCGAGAGAGAGAGAGAGAAGCCATGTCAAATGACATTATTCTCCCTTCTGGGAAATAAGTGTTCTTTAGAGCTCTAGTTGCTTGTTTACTACCCTGGGGACGAACAACCCCGCTGCTGCCCAAAGGCACCTCTTCCTTCTTGAAGCTGCGTTGCTTTTCCGAACCGTCAAGGGCTAGAACTCTGACCGAGATAGTTCTCTCTGCATTCATGACATGAGAGTGTCTCGGACTGTCCACTGTTATGTACGCCGAATATTAACTTGTTTAGTAACAAGTAGGCGGCCTCGAATTCTGACGCACCTTCAACCGGTGTCGTGGATGATTAGCAGTTCACAAAAGGCGTCTGCTCCTACGCTTTACTCTGCAAAGACGTATTTCAGTATGTCGATGCGGTTATAGTCATCTGTCAGATAATTTGAGACGGTATCCGATAAACGACTGAGGTCTTTGACTCTTTCATAAAGTCAGTCGTAGGCCTATGATTAGTTTGGATCTTAATGTCTTCCAAGGATTCCAAACTTGACAGACATGGCTTTTCGGTTGATATGGCTTGCGATGTAGTTCCTGAAGCAAAGACGATGAATATTTTCATTTCCCTGAGCGTCCGATGTTGTTGAACGCCTCTTACTCCGCATGTCGAGGAGTAGAGTTGCATGATTATGAGTCTTCTTGAGTCAGAGTGGCTCACGGCTTTTGCGGAAATCAAGGCGGCTTCATTCCGTTTGGACTATTCTTCTTCCTGTCCTGACCACATCTTTTGCCGATTTCCTTAGCAGTAGTCAGTCCATCGTCTCCCTCATTGCAGTCACTTTCGGTTTGCTTTTCTGTTTGTAGACAAATATATAAATTGGGGTTTAAATTACTCCAACTCCCAGCCCAACACCCCAAATCCATGCGTCCCAACTGCGTTATGATGCGGTATGGACACAATACTGCTGACTTAAGTATTTTGAGTTGATGTGATTATGTTGGCATGGTATTGCTGGGTGTTGCGGTGGGTCTTCTGTTGGCGGCCTAGTTTCTTTGTTGCTGTGTCTACCTTTTTGATCCAATGCCGGTTGTCCTTCTTGAACTTCAGCCTGATGCCTTATTCTAACTTTCGCGTTTGATGTTTCAGGGCTAGGGTTTAAGACTGCGGTTAAGGCTTAGGAGTTAGGGCTTGGGTTAGGGCAACTACTTATCAACCACTTAAAGTACAACCGCGCATCCCCAGTAGCTTTTTTACATATAATTATCTGACCTCGTCGCCTGTGCGTTCCCTGACCCCACCTGTTAAAACCCCTATTACTACCGGTCCCGTATTACAGGTGGCTGGGTTTTGTTTACCTCAGGTACGGCCACATAACCACATTTGACCCCAACTGCTTCCGCAGCATCTCACTCAAAACACAGGTGGTGTAGAATTAGTGAATCTCCGGCTTACCGTCCTGAATAAAGAATTGGTCGGCTTGGCCAGACCAGGGGTGGGCTAACAATAACGTATGCAGATCTAGGAGAGAGGCCATTTGACGGTGGAGAGGCAACGTTCACAGGGACCATCCTGGTTACGGTCTAAAATTGTAACTGGCCAGCTAATCCAGGTTGTAAAGCATTCTATTCGTGCGTACCGCCGTCCACGTCCCATATGTCGTCGCTGTTAACTAGGGGCTGGTCAGTAATCCACAACTGGTTCCAACAGAGATGAGAACCAATTATGACTTATCTGACGCCATTATTCAGTGATAACCCTACGCCAGGTGTTGACCCTCACAAGGGCAAAATCCGGGACAGCTATGCGTCAAACAAGGCTTTCCCCAGTGTACCACCGTCCCGTGGCATTTCAGTTTACATCAGGAATATTCAGTCACCTGGGAGTGGATTGCGTAGACCCATACCGACTCCAGGGCTTAGCAGAGGATAGTTCCGTTTTTATCAGAGTAAAACTTGATTTCCAGGTACAATAACTGAGCGGGATAAAACAATCCCTGACACAGCCTTGGTTTGGGTCTGAGCCATCGAAAGTCATATAGGGCCATTCATCATTAAAGACTGAATAAATTGTCGCATAGCCAGCACCACAAGAGAGGGAGAGGGAGGTCACTGTCACGTACGCTAGCGAGCGTCTTCGCGCTCTAGCAAGCGTGTATTTTGGGCGAATTTGTCTGACCAGGGGGGCCTCGAAACGTATGCTTTGGCCGCCCAGGACGCGGACGTGGTGCACTGCGCCTTACTGAGGTTGGCAGCCTGCAAGGCGTGTTCGTAAGGTCGTATAATTCTGGGCGACATATAAATCTACTTCACAACACGGGCAACACCGCGTCGCAATCGTACCTCCTTCGGTTAGGAATTAGCTTCGCCGTCCCCAGTACGGCTGACGCAACGTCACGTGTCAGAACACGTACATCTCATGTATGTCCGAAGCACGTTCTGTGGTGTATCCTGGCACATTCTGTGGTGGCTAGGTCGCGTGTGGCAAGCTTAAATGGGCTGTGCTTGCTCCG